TTTATAATCTTATCCAGCAGAACAATCTCGTCTGTTCTAAGATTTTGAAATTTTGGTATATGTTGTCCCACATGCTGTATTTAAACAACAGTATACTTAAAAACAACGATTCATAATGTTGTTTGTAAGTTGAGACGATAGCAAACAAATATTTGTCTATTGTTGTTTATGGTACGAAACCTTTCGTGCGCGTGTCGGACTCGAACTTGGCCGGTTTTTAGCTTTATCACACTAATATTATAAAGGCGAAAGTTTGTGAGTGTGTATGTTTGTTACTTCTTCATGTCTAACCGGCTGGAGCGATTTTAATAAAATTTGGTATGGAGTTAGCTTACACATAGGCTACGTTTTACTGTGGGAAAATATCCCTAATAAACCGCGGGGCACAGCTAGTATAAAAATAAATGTTGGAAGAAATGACTTCGCCCGCCCTAATGTAAAGTGCTTCATTCGACTTTCTGATCTTGAAAATTCCTTTTACGAGTCTACTCCGGATAGTACAAATAAGGCGGATATCTTAGAACAAATGGATATTGAATACAGACTAAATGAAATCAGTCGCGAGTCACCTTTGAATTTTACTGCTTGTATATTTTAACTCGAGAACGACTTTAAAATGGTAAAGACTTTTTTTTTGTTAATATATACATATTTGAAAATAGAATTCGAATGTGTCACCACTTCGAAGAATTGCACGCGCGTGACATTTTAATTTTGGAATTTATTTATTTACAAAACGTTTAAAGCTGCAGTTCGCTTTGGCGGTTTGCGTTAACGAAATACGTTTTTAGGCATTACATCGAGGTTCGCCACATGTTGCATTTTAATGTCTATCTTTTTTTTGTCACTTTACAAGTGCCGGTCGCCGCTTGGAAAATAATAAAAAGAGTCGTAAAAGTTTGGTCACCGTGATGTTATCATTACGTAGGGTATCGGCATATTAATGAGTCGGACCAAAACTCGATAGCATGTTTTTTTTAAATAAAATTTACCTTTTTCGATGTTTATTTATTGAACGTGAATTCTTTAAGCATATTCGACAGTGGAAAAGCAAAATCGCTTAACTGCCACTTTAGTAACTTTAGAGAAACGATGATCAAAGCTTTTTACAAAAAAATCATCAGTTTTTGTAAATGTAAGGTAGCGCCATGATAATTTAAATGTACTTTTAAAAATGATTTCTGAATACAGATATCCTTCGCATGGGGGAATGAATTTAGCCATGGAAAGGTTAACTCAAACAATCCCAAATATAACAGGAAAAATCACTTAAACCCCACTTTAGTAACTTTAGAGAAACGAGGATCAAAGTTAGTTTTTCACAAAAAAAACATCACTTATTGTAAATGTAAGGTAGCGCCATGAAAATTTAAACGTACTTATAAAAATGATTTCTGAATACAGATATCCTTCGCATGGGGGAATGAATTTAGCCATGGAGAGGTTAACTCAAACAATCCCAAACATAACCGGAAAATCACTTAAACGCCACTTTAGTAACTTTAGAGAAACGAGGATCAAAGTTTGTTTTTCACAAAATAATCATCACTTATTGTAAATGTAAGGTAGCGCCATGAAAATTTAAACGTACTTATAAAAATGATTTCTGAATACAGATATCCTTCGCATAGGCATAGGGGAATGAATTTAGCCATGGAGAGGTTAACTCAAACAATCCCAAACATAACCGGAGAGCGTTTGTTTGTATTCCATCTCGGGAGATTAAAGGCAACCAATGCATCGACATTCACTTGTATCGATATCAGAAATAGGATATTATCAGATGCCTGATTGCTTTGAATACATAGAAAAAGGTGAAGCATGAAAGAAATGGGCTTGTATTTGAACCTTATTGTTTGTAGATTGCAATTCAAACAGTGTGTACACTACATACACTTCCATTTAAAAAGATACTGTATATTTTCTGCACCTATATATATATTACGTGGGGCGGCCCCCAACAAGGTGGACTGACGACATCGTCAAATATGCTGGGAGCCGCTGGATGCGGATAGCGCAGGACCGCGCATTGTGGCGTTCTATGGGGGAGGCCTATGTCCAGCAGTGGACGGAGAAAGGCTGATGGATGGATGGATGGATGGATATATATATTCAAGGAAAATTTATAGAATGTATTGTATCGAATGTACCCCATTCAGTTGATAAGTACAGTAACAGCAGTTCAATGTGTGGAGCATTCAAAAACAGAATGACAAATATTTTCACTATTCTTATAAGACAGTTTGAATTTGAAGTCTCATTCGAATCTCTTTATTATTTTAAAATCAGTTCATCAGTACTATTGGCCATTACTTTCCAAAAAGAAAAGCTTCATTCTAATAAAAATTGGGAATATTTTAACTGTTCCTCCGTGCCGCGCCGTCCATCCCGTTATTTCACGCTCCGCTTATTTCAAAATAATTTTCCAGAACGCAGAACCAAATTGTACATGCCATTTATATTCTTTTCCTTTTCAAATTTATAGGTTGGTGAAGATAAAAGAGAAAAGGGGAAAAAATCAAAATACTCTTGTGAAGGACGAGACGCGAATTGTAAAAGTAAAATGTCGAAACATCCAATCAAGGACACTTTAGTTAAATAGTTGAAATTTCCACTTTATAATAAGGGGAAGGAAGACTTTATCAAATTCTGCGTTGTGTGTTTTAAGTTATCATATTATTACTTTATATTTGATGTTTGTTTATAAGTTTCATTTCCTTGAACTTTTATTATTTTATTTGACTACTCATCAAGCCCTAATTTGTTAGTATTTGTATAATTTTGAGAAAACTCCTTTTAAACATTCTTTCTTAATATTGACTTTTCAACACTGAGAATAATTCCTTCAGAGCTCTTTAATTCATTAATAATCTCCAAAGAAATCGGACGACATAGACAGTCTGCAAATAGTGGGGCAAGGACATTTCCAATTGTAGAGGCGGGTTGGGGGTAAGGTAGTTAGTTCCCTATTTAGGTGGAAGCAATTAAGAAGTATACCTTCGCACAATGTATTGGAGAGTGTCTAGGAGAGCACATCGCACCCCATGCATTCATCAACCAGTCTCGCCGTGCTGCGGTGACTCACATTATCGCCTGTCGCCAATATAAAGCCTGAACGAATGCCCCTGTTTAGACAGGGATGCTTCAATCTTGTTTGGCCCACTTGAGAAGCGTACAGCGAGCTAAGACCTGGACAATATTGTAATATGAAAAGCTCTTTAATTTAACATTTACTAATAATTGATTGACCGCGTAACTTGTGGGTTTGCTCTTAAACCGATTATCGATATAATGGAGATCTCGAGTCTCCGAAACTGATTAATCGATATATCTTGAATTCCTGTAGTGTCCTACGCTACAGCATTAAAAGTATGTAAATTAGAATAGAATGGACAACAAAGACGATCACGGTGTATCGTAAGTAAATATTTAGGATACAGGCGCCAAAAAGGACCCGAAACGTCAAGTATTATTTACCATTTAAGCGCGTAAATATTTAGAATCTATGAAATTTTAAAGTCTCTTATTTTCAAGTTTGCATTGTTACAAGTTTAAGTATGCTGTATAATATGCAGTAAGTTGTTTCAATTACCCTCTTTTAATTTGAAAAATAGCCGACAATATAAAGATAAAAATGACCTACCAGAAGTTACCTTGCCAAGATAAAGCCGCTTTCTGCTCTTTCCTTACTCTATACCATAAATTTAGTTTTGGCTTACTACAAACAGTATACAGCCAATCTTTAGTGCTTTGAAATAGAGATCAGAATTCAGTGTTTTTAGTGAGTATGCAAATCAGTAATCATTGTTTATCCCATTCCTGTCGGGGAACGCACGGATGCGTCAGAGATTTAAAGATTCTGTTAGTTCCCTATAGTTGACATATGTGGGTGACGTCACGTTCATGTTGGATTACGAAATGCGAACACGCATGCAACTAGTGATAAATACGTAGCCAATAATCACTGAATACTTTATTTTTCTTATAACACTGTTAGGTATATTCTTGGAATTGCCTTAATTTAAATTCAAAGAGATATTTCAAATGAATATCAGTACTTTCGTAGTAAACAAAATATGCAGTACATTCAATTTCATAATCCAGAAATATTGCATTATCAAACAAGAAAATAAGTTGCATTACAGTTCAATGAAAGATTTAATCATGAATCCTGTTTCGGTCCTTACAAAATCAATAAGCCATATATTTTTGGATCTATTTGGCGTATTCTATGCAACGCATCCCTCGTAGCCAGTCAGTAATGCAATAAAGTTAGTGCCTACGGATGTTTAAACTTATTTGGGCCCTTACGAAAGGCGTTCCTCAGGGGTGAGGGATGGGGCCCTCGGCCTACTCGAAACGCCATTAACCTCTGGTCTGACTGATCCGAGTGCGAAGCCGTCTGTACTCGTGAATTGGCATCACGCAATCACAATTCGTTTTTATTGATGAGTTTTTAATACCGGTTTAACGTTTACGGTTAGGGTTGATAAAATAGCTCATCGAATTAATACCTGTACATACCTAACTATCACTCACGAGAGTATTCAGTGATAGAGACCCAAACAGTCATCATACTTACGTATCTGTAATATTGGTATATTCTAAACGTGTTTAAAATTCTGATGGAGTTATCTAATGTCTGACATTAATATTTTGATTTGATTTTAATGCTAAGTTAGATGATATCTGAATAGGTATGTCAGAACATTTCGACGAATAATCATATATGTATATCAGCTACATTAAATAGGTATGTAATTTGATCTATAATGTTTCGATTTATTATTCCATCTGTATGAAATCCGTTTGAATAATTTAATAATTGACGATTTGTCCTTCTAGAAAGAAAAACATTTTCGGACAATAACCCAGAGGTTTTTCACTGTTTGTGTTAGAAGACTATTTAACAATTCTTGTAGATATTTATCTACATTGTTAAACACAGACTATAGGAACTACCTATATACCAAAATTGATGTTAAAATAACACTAAAGCCAGATTTTGCAAAACATGTGCTCCGTTTGCACAATTTTTTGTCACCCCATCTTTTGTGACGTCATTGGCGCCTCGGGTGGTTTGCATTGGTTTCCCATTCTATTCTACGCAACCCTCTTTAAAAATACTAATGCAACCAAAAGATATGTAGTTACGTGAACTGAAATTGAGCGTGAAGCGAAAGATATTACCTATTTTGTTATTTTACTCATAACACGAGTCAAAGATAGTTCAGCAATATCCAAACGATCGGCAGTTTTGAATCAGTGCAATTTTGAGACAAATTGGACTTCATAAGATTTTTACTTTCAGTGCGTTTTTTTAACTAGCTTTAGATACCCAAATTCTGATGCATCACTCATTCTAAGAATCAGATGAAAGAATAATTGTGTAACTTAAGATTGTTTTGTTTGTCCACAGATGCAGACGAATTGTGTCTCAACAAAGGCTGTTGCGATGCAAGCACTCGCGCGCGCTTCACGTACCAAGCACGCAAACAGCTCGAGAACTCTCTGTCGAGCGAACTCAACAAACTGGCGGACGCTCTCGCCTACAGGGCCAACAAAGTCAATGGTGAGTTCTACTGAGTCTGAATTCTTTTTATCATCGTACAACTGTGGTAGTCTCTAAATGCTGCTGTTATGAGCGACGCGCCGAGCAATAGAACAGACTGATGTACTCAAATGCAGAAACACGCCACCAAGCGTGGGCTAAAATGCCAGAGCTATCATAAAGCTTAGCCTGCCGAATACCAAAAGTCGTGGACTGAAAGTTAATGTCCTCACTGCTGCTTCACACAGACCTTGCATATAGACACTATTGTACAAGAAAAAAAAGGGGAATAGTTAACCAACCACTGGCATTGTTGTGTAATAACGACAATAGCCGTAATCAACAGCTCAATCTGCCTTCCGAAGCCCGGAACAGCTAATGAGCTCAGGATACGTTTTCTGTTCATTAGCAATTTGATAATTGATACATCTCCGCTGATGTTGTCTCCAGTATTTTTTTTCTGTTAACTTATTTTATCGGTTCTCCATTCATTACCTTGTCGAAGCCGTTTAAGCCCCAACCCATTTAAGTTTTGTCCCTTTCTATTCGCATTAAATCATAGCATGGAGCATGGCCCTGTAAAATTTTATCATCTCCTTTTTATTCGCAATTATAACTTTCTCTATACCTTTATTATCAAATATCAAGAGAACCCATTTCCACAGAACTAATTTGACCTTAACGTTTTTCTGTTATACTTTATTCAATTACACATTTAATATCCCCGTATATAATGACGTCGATGTTAGTTGATAGATAAGTTCAAATAATTCGAAGTGGTGGTTGCCTACAAAGTAGTCCCAACCAATCATATTGTTGGATTATCTTTCTACATTAGTAATAAATACGTACCTACTTATCAATATAAGTTGAGCCATTCTAAAGATGACGACGCATCATTAAGTGGGTGTCAAGGGCGACGGTAGCTTCAGCTCGATCTTGATGTTTATCACTTTTGCTTACGTAAATATCTTTAGTTCAACCTATCATTTCTATTACAATAATGAAAATTTTAAATCTCTATTTTGAGTTTTCATCAGTACAGTATGACAGTAGCTTGTGTGTTTTCTATTTTACCAGCAACTTCATAGTTTCAGTGGTTGCTTTTCGACCTCTTTGAGAGCGTGAATAGCTTATTTCCTCCAGCAGCCCTTCTAACCACCTCAGTGAACTTCAAATAGATAACGTTAATACCCCTCAAATGAGGGGCTAATAAAAATACTGTCAAAGTTTGCTTCTTTTCTCTTCCGTTAATTTCGAACCCCATTGCAGAGATTCTTAAATAAATAGCGTCTTTGGCAAGTATACTATCAAAAAATATTTAAAGCCTCTTGTCAAAGTAAAAGAAAACATATAATATTTTTTAATTCGCTTGTTATATCATAATATCTGCCTATCAAAATTTATAGATTAAAACATTATAAGTTTCCAAATAATGGCATCGATCGTCGTAAAATATTAAATTATTTCATCCGCAACAAACCAAGACTGCTCGAAAAATGTTTCATAACTAAGAGCCGTCATAAACGAACTACCAACCTCACGATATTTATAGAACGATGCAACTCGTAAAGATAAAGAAACTATTTGCTTATACAATAAATTGGTCTTATTGAGGGTAACTTTACCATAAAGAAGATTGAGTTATCTTACGTACTAGTGTACGTTCTATTCCTATACGGGTTCTGATCATTTAAGTATGCGTACCCAAACCACATTGCCAAATTGTGCGTACAACAATAAAATGAATTACTATGAATCGGTACAATGATGTGATATGAATTAAACTCCGTGATAATCAGATCTCCACATTATGACTAAAACCTTGGTACAGAACTTAAGATTTCCTCGGAATTATAATCAAAAGAATGATAGGACACACAATAGTTATTTCTGATATTAGTGCGGTAAGTTGTTTATTACAATGGAGTAGACGAAAGTCGGTAAAAAAATTATCGCATGCTCAGTTAACTTGTATGGCTCGTAATTTTGAACTTTTGAAAAATATTATCTCTCTATACTTCCTCCGTAAATGCATTTTTCAGCAAATTTGTTGAAAAGTCTTATTTTGCCATATTGCCCTTGCGGTGTTCGCATCACATCAATCGGCGATTCCATGCGTTTTGCATTAGTTGGATCTTGACTCCGACTTTTACTATCTGCTCGGGAGTCTTGTTTTTTTCCTTTTCAATCAAGTATGTGTATGTTAATATATTCAAAATGTTAGAAAGACCGTTGTCAAAGTCCAGATTTTATTGATTAAAAAGCGTTACCAAGTGTTCTCAATGTTTTCTCTACCAAACTTGATCGAATAGATTACTGGGCAGTTGTGTATGAAGACGGACTCTAGTTTCGGTTCAAAGTTTCCATTCCAATTTCTTGTGGATACGGAACAAACGCAACGGAACTCGCTTATCTTTGATCGTCGTGTTTACAGTGAAAGGTTTCTCCACCAAAAAAAAAATCATTTGTTTTTTTAAACGCAAACTGGACAAATCACGATCGCATACAATTTTATGTTCCGAAATTATGGTTCTTCAAATTGTTACTCACGTTTGTATTCTTCTGTTTTAAGACAGGACCCCTTATCCATCCTTATGTGACAGTCATGCCTTCCCATTGTTAAATTATTTTCAAGTTATGAGCTAAGAGATGTTTAGTCTACCCATTTGTTGCAAGAATGATGTCACACCTGTAACTCAATGGCTCTTTGTTTGCCGACTTCAGGCTTACGGGTGGTTTTGAATATTTTATGAGACGCACGGATATAATAAGCTGTCTGCGAAGAAAGGAAGCTTGGGGTCGGTTAATCGTCGTTTGTTTCTCTGTGCTTGTACCGAAACGTTTATCTCAAAGAGGTATTTAAATATGCGTGCAGAGCAGCTGCGAAATGCGATGTCAAGTTTAAGTTATGTTCTTTATAACTATGTTCAATATAAGTATGAATCAAAAAAATGTCAAATACCAAAGTTTTTAAACAAAGACAGTGATATCGCAGTGGAATGTCGTTTCAGGGAATATTGAAATGAATTTTCGACAAATTTTCCGGATATACAAATTATAACCAAGCAATGCTAAATATAGGTATGGATAAGGTGTAACTATATTAGGAGTGATGTTGACACTTATATCTATCTTGGTGCGGCATCTATCCATCCACAAAACCCGCAGAGAAATTGTCTTATAGCAATTTAGAACATCGATCGATACTTCGGTAATTCATCTTCGGTTGTCACTATTTATAAATCATAAACTTACGTCGTAAAACCTGACAAACGTTGAGCAATGTAACAATATTTGTTAAAAAATGAGGCAATATAGCGTTTTACATAACAACAGCCTTCCTTGCCCATACAAGGGGTCTATAAATTGTAACAGAAGCTCCAAACTCGCTGCCCCCGCGTGAATATGAATGAAAGAAAACGATAGAATTGACACCTCAGTCTTAAATCAACAGAACTGCCTGGAATTAAGACGCGAAGGTGCAATCAAGGCACCGTGGGATCGTCTCGGTGGCACAAAGGCTGAATGAAAGGTTCGAAAGTAGCTGAGTCAATATTGGTAGTGGACTGGACTGGTTTTGGAGGGCGGCGACAAGACCAACTACGGATCTGTGCGGTGCGCTCAACTCAACTCGAGTGAGATGACATTGAGTTTCTAGTACCGCATATGTCGTTAACATAGTTTTGGAGCGTTTAATAGAACAAACGCTAGCTAGTAGCGTGCAGGAATGTTGCCGTGAAGGTGTCATAATTTGATACTCTGTTTCGTGAAAATTAACTAGGTATCACTTTGCACATTATCAACTTTTCTATCTATAATTCGTTGGTAATGGTGTCGATTCTGTAATGATTCTCTGAATTTGTAACTTAATTTAACATCATTCTCTCCTTTTCATTCTATATAGAGCATGACAAGGATACACTGTTGTCAAAGTTTATGTTTAGAGAATCATTTCAGAATCGACACCAATGCCTTGTTAAAGTGTAATCAATTGGTCCAGGAAAACAATAACAACCACAAATATTTTTTAATTAGTAAATTGAGTACGATGTTTTTATTTACAGTTTATGTACATATGTCCAAAAACGCGGATAATAATTAGACAATGGCAATGACATTTCTCAATCTTACTGAAAAAAAAAAAATAGGATTTGTGCGAAAACGCGAGTCGCCTCAGTAAGATTGCATAAAGAACCGTTGGCTTATTTCATATATTCTTGGGTTTCTGTGTCCTTAGGTTCACACTAGGTAAGGATAGTTTTGTGACGCCAGAAACAATGTTGCTAACAGTAAGATTGGGCAATGTCATCTCCATTATCTAATTATATGCGTATTCGCAAAAAACCTAGGATTTTCGTGAAAATTCGATTTATCAAATCATCCTACGACATATACAGCAATAAAATTGAAGAACGTAGAATGATGTTGGGAGGTATAATTTTTCCGGCATTTCTCGTTCACGGTTCGTTAAATCGTTTACGTCCGTCCTTTCTGACTTTAGTCGGTAGCGATACAAATATGTACTCGTTACCCTCTCCTCGTTCGTATTATATTGTAAATTGACATTATTATGTTGCCTACATAGAGAAGTTCGCAAAGTTCTTGAAAGGGGCAGCTCAAATCAAAATTTCTGGGACATTATGGAGCATAAAGGCCATAGCTATATACGAATAAGTTTAAGTGATTTTTTTTTAAATTCATCTTTAATTTTGTTATAATAATATATTTTAGAATGTTATATCTAATATATAAAATTCTCGTGTCGCGGTGTTTGTGGTTAAACTCCTCCGAAACGGCTTTCCCGATTCTCATGAAATTTTGTGTGCATATTGGGTAGGTCTGAGAATCGGGCAACATCTATTTTTCATCCCCCTAAATGTTAAGGGTAATCCACCCCTAATTTTTTTTATTCAATTTTTTTTATGATACAGCATTAAAAAATACATACAATCCTAAATTTTCACCTTTCTACCACCAGTCCCTATTTTATGGCGGTACGAAGTTCGCTGGGTCAGCTA